TGGGTGTGGAGTTTCATTTCTTTCTTCTTTTTAGCAACATCTATATCTTGAATATTTTAAGGAGAAACTCATTATTTCTTTTTATTTTCGAGATAAATTCTTTTCAGAGTAATAAAACTAGCTCTTCTAGAAATTAAAAAAAAACCCAGTTTTTTAGCAATATTTGCAGCTTTACTTGCATAAAAATAATGCAAAGGAACAAATTCTTATTAGTATAATTGCTAATTTTTCATAAAAGCATATCTCATCAAATAAATTCCCTTTGGAATATTTTTTCCTACTTCGTACTGTATATACATATACTGGTGTATACATTTTAAAAAAGAAGCTCATTTTCACGATATTTTTTTTAAAAAAAGTACTGAAACATATTTAATGAAAATTCGTAGGCATAATAAAGAAAATTTGCTTGTTCTTGTCATCCAGTCGGATTAATTCCTGATTGTCGAATCAAATTAGATTAATACTTTTTACTTACTACAAATTAAGAAAATTGATACAACATTCACTTAAAATATTATTCAGTGTGGTTTTCGTTTTTCTCATTCTTCTGAAGGCTTGCGAATTATTTTTTAAAAAATTTTTGCAAGCATGGACAAAATATCAACTTCTGGCTGACTGTAGTTGGAATATTAAAACTGGTACATTCACAAGACAGCATGACAAGATGGTTTAAAGCATCTTGAAATGGGGTTTCCAGATTATAGAGCTGTAATTTCAGGATATCGGAACAATTTCCAGAAGTTCGGTTACATCTCACATACAGCCACCGCAAGCCTGCTATTCGGCAAAGTTCAGTTAGGTGATGACCACTACTTAATTCGAAAATGAGCTCCTATTGGTAATTGTAATTCTAGGGGTACCGTTTTAAGAAGGTTCGATGGGGTAGGGCTTTATATCAAGGTACAAGTGAATTTGCTCATTGGAGAGTCTACCTATGTGGTACAACATGCTTGGACACGTGAGAAGAGGGTCGGTGTTATGTACACTTAAGACTCGAAATTACGTCTTAACAGGGATACTCAGCGTGATAACAGATGAAGAGAAAAAAAACTGTGTGTGTGCTTATGACCACACGACAGAAGTGAAAACTTATAATTTATTCTGAGAAAGATAATCCAATTGTTCAGATGTACTACGTTTTCTTTTACGACATTTTAGCATACGGACGTTAAGTGGTTATCTTTTTTGTGACCCTTCATCGGTGAATTTGTTTATTTCATTCATTTTCTGTTTCATTCAATGTTTAAATAATTAAGCATTCTTATATATTTTTTGTACGGATACATACGATTTATAAAAGTCAATTAGTACAATTATTTAATAGTATTTATATGTAAATTACTTATGTAGATTATATTTACCGTAAAATCCGGCGGATAGGGCGCACCGCTGTATATATAAATCGCACCTATACATCCAAGCTGCATTTTTCAATTTTTAGGTACATTCGCCGTATAACGTGCACCCTTTTTTTTACGAAGAAACCTGTAATGTTCTTATGTTTTGAAGTCATTTATCCGAGGTATTATCTGAGACTTTTAAAAAAAATGGTGTTCTTCTAGAATTACAACCCTTTAAGCTCATAGGGAACGTAATTTCTTTTAAATAAACGGTATTTCGATACATGTACAAGTCTATTTTTTTCTATGCTTATAAATATTTGTTTATAAATTTCTCATTTTTATACCCAATGTATAACGTAATTTCGGTCTTATTTTTTGTGTTCAAAGGACGCATTATAAGCTTTATTTTATAGCATATAATATGTATGTTTATATGGTACTTACGTACTATCTCAAAAATGCCAACGCTCAAGATAACTCACAATCCTGATTCCCCAAGTACGCGATGAGTTGGCAACCATTGGCCTCATTTCACATAGTGCCGCACCAATACCGTTGTGATAATACCTAAGAGAGTAACGTTTATATAATTTACATAAAGCCGAAAACAACGTAAGACTGGGTAAACTTTTGCCTTGAGAGCCGTTTACTTTTCTTAAAATCTCTAAGCAAATAAAAGGTGTGGGTTCGTACTTTTTCACAAGTAATGTTTTTATTTTTTCGTAATCTCTGGTATTTTCTTGTCCCTTTCAGCTTAAAGTTGATTTTTTATATTTCTGTTAATGAAAGCAGTCCAGCTTATACTTATCGGGCCTTTTATATTTGCCTTCATTCATTTTAACTATTTGTGTAAGAGGCTAAAATATTAATTAAAGTTTTGTTCCGTATATATTTAGATAACTCATTCAACATGGATTTATCTTTGTTATTTTTTAAGAAGAAATGAAACAGTGATTTTGATCTTAAAGTTCTAGAAAATAATTTACTAGTAATTTTTCTGAATATCAAGTAAAATGTTTCGACGATGACTCAATGTAATGTAAGTAAAGTAGCATAATAGAATTAATTAAAATTATCCGAATTTTATTATATCTTTTTTTCAAATTCCAAGCCCAATTTTATTCATTTCACTTAGCACATCAGGTGGCATTAGTAACAACAATTTTTCCTGCATTCGATATATTTTTATCAGATTTCGGAATTTTTTTTTTTATAGATTTTAAATTATACCATCGTATGAAAATGTCCTTTTTTTTAAAGATATTATTCAAATTAATGTCTTTATTATCCAATAAAATGTGGAAATGCACATAATTAAAAAAAATTTAAACTGCGTGAAAAGAAACATCAAACATTTTCCACAAATAAATCTTTGTAAAACACCACTAATCAGTTATCTCGAGAGACTTAAATGATAAATTTAATTCCTATTAAATGTCTCGTAATTTGTAGAAAATAGATGCATTTAAAAAGGCTGCTATACCTCTGAGACTATAACTTTTATTATGATTTAAATTGGAAAAAGGTCCATAGCTTAGAATCTGGAATTTTTTTAAAGGGACAAAATGCCTCCTTACTAAGCTTAGGAGTAAATTCTCGAAATATACTACTCACAAACTTCCCCGACGAGCTACTTTTGAGAACGAAATCATCTAAGTAATATTGAAATAAGAAGCTCGGCGCGCGTGTGCGAAAAACTGTTATCCTAATCTTGGGAATTGGAGTCTAGAATATTCCAATCACGTCCTGGCTGGAAGACTATCTCGTTACTGCATAGAATCTGCGTGTACAGGCAACGACAAAACGTGATCCCGATAGTAGGGAAAACGTGATCTCACCACAAAATGGGGAGGGGGGAGGGACTTTATCCTTTAATCTGGTAAAATTTTGGGAACTTCTCATTTTTCTCGCCTCGCTTCCAAAACAAATTTGGACACTTTTTAACGGGTTTTTTACGTTCTCTTTTGGAGAAAATTTATACGCTGGAAAAAATGCAATCAAAACTAGTTGCGTCGGCGGGGGTCATTTTTTTTGGAGGGATGGGTATTTTCCCCACCCATCGTTATTGTACGATATTTTTAAAGGTTTACTTACTAGATAAGGATTTTTTTTTTTAAAAAAATCTATTATTATTTAATGATTGGTGTAGGAATAAAATTTAAAGCAAAGCCATCTGAAAAAAATTGTATGATTATTTTCAAAATTATCCTTTACGTAAGTATTAAAGCTAGATAACTTATTAGATGTTCTTGTTCTCATTGCCATTATAATCGAAATTTCTTTTTTGTACTAGATCCAAAGATATAAAAATGAGTACACACTCAATTTTGAAAATGTAGCGATTTCATAGGAATAAAAACATTTTACTGGAATAACTTTATCTTGTACACCAGCGTTTCTCAAACTGTAGGGTGCACCCCCTAGGAGGCGTGATCACCCCACGAAGGGGGGGACAAGTATATCTAAAAGTCGAAAACAAATCATTATTTAAAAACATTATTAATATACTAAAAGGAAGAATAACAAAATATATTATGTTATCATATATATAAAATGCGAATATATACTAATAAAATATATTTATCAATGTATCAGCACTGCACAACGTATTTAATAATTAATTTAACGATACAAAGTTAAGAACATATTAAAACAATTCCCAATGACCCCATGGGCTTGTCATGTTTAAAAAGTTTAATAATTTTCTTGATAATTTGTGTGGTTTATAATTAGACATATTGCAGTTTTACGTCCAAGTACTTTATTATTGAATTCAATGCAATGTTAATACTTCTGATGGAGGGGGTCGGGAGGAGCACAAATAAAATTATGACTGAAAATTGGGTCACAAGTATTGAGATTTTGAGAAGCGCTACTGCGCACCAATCCACAACCTATTTGAAATAAAAATAAAAACTTTATCTTGTCTTACACAAACAAAGGTACGATGTTAAACACAACAAAACAAACACACGTAGCCTGAAAGCGTTTTTTTCCTGTTCCGGAGATCTCAGCTCTTATAGCTTCCTCATCCGGAAGTTTTTAGAATCATGTAATTTCTCTTTTAGTGGCTTCTGTAGGTGGTTACAATATTTAGATGATGCCATATTGCATCATTTTATTTTAAAAAAGTTCGAAATTTGTAAATCTTTAAGAAATAAAGTTGTGGTTAAAAGGATTCTATCGGGTAGGTGGCTGAACTAAAAAAATATTTATCATGAGGAGTCTTCATGGGCCCTACACCCCATTATTAATTAAACACAATTACTGGAAAGAAAATTTAAATGGTTTATTGAAGCATATATCTTTATTTTTATTGTTAAATAAATGATATTTATTTTTTCTTTAAAATGATAAGAAAACAAGCAACATTAAAAAAAAAGTCAATTCCTACTTAGGTCAACAGAGAAAAATTTTATTTTAGTTACTTTTGATCAGTAATTACAATTAATATAAATATGTATATAGATACAACATAATCACACGATTAAGTGGCAAAAAAGAAAGCGATTTTCCTTGCAATTTTCCATTTTCCTATCTATATAGGTTTTTGGACTATTTGTTTTGTTTGTTACTATTTTTATTCTTTAAATAAATTTAATTACTTCAATAAAATAGTACAGTAAAAAGAAATCACATTCTCAGAAATTAGACCACCCCAGGTGGGATTCGAACCCACAACCCTTGGAGTAGAATTCCAACTCGCTATATATTGCACTACAGAGATCCAACGAGCGATTTTCTTTTTTATATAGGGTGTTGTACTATTATTTTTGTTTGTTACTATTTATTCATTCATTAAATAGAATTATTGAATTAATATTTAAAGAAACTGTATTAACGTCAAGTGTCCTCCACTATATGTTTTAAGAAATGCGTTTGAACTTGAGTGGATCAATAAAAATAATTATATTTTCTCTAAAAATTCTCCCTTTTGTAAAAACTGTTATAAACATTTCATGAAAACAAACATAAACAATTCAAAACTTTTTATAAAGTAGATATAAGCACCGCCTAAATAAAACTCTAACACGAACTCACAAGTAAAAGCAATTTCGCTCACTAATTTTACTCTATAATTCATTCCTTGTTGCATGCACGGATATTAATTTATTCCAATTACTGAAACTATATTTCTCCGAGGAATGATCGCTATCCAAAGTATGAACGCCGGAAGAATTTTAACGAATAAAAATTCGGTTTTCCAAATTTCTTGCGACGAGTTTTCAAACTTTCACCGTTGCTATGACAACCCATTTCTTTCCGTGATAATCGTGCTGCCGCTCTTCCGAATCGCTGTTGCCAGATTCCTGAAAACAGATCGGATTACGAAAACTTCTTCCTCTTCTTCTTGTTCCTATGCGAGAAAACTTTCCCGTAATCTTTATGACATACTTAATCACTTGGATAAGTTATCAAAAGTGCGTACCCTATCACTTTGTTGCCGTACTTCTTCTTATGATAGAGTGCTTTAGCAGGTTTCGATTTTTTTATGGAGTAATTTGTGAAAAATGGATAAGAAATACTCTAGGAAGGGGTGTATTTTGGACACAAATTAGAAATATATATTTATGTAATATGACGTGTTTAAAGTGAAACATATTTTTTCTTTTACAAAAAAAAATAAATGTAGATTTATTTGTATGTATGGAAGAAATGGGAAAATATTTTTCAATATTTATTCCTAGTATAAGTACTGTTTTCGTTATGAATGTATTTACTAATGAAAACAATCCACTAACACGAATTGTGATGATAAATTACGGTTGTAAGTAAAGTATTAAACAAGTACCTGATAAAGGATATAAAATGAAGAAAGATGGAAAAGAATTAATTGGTGAAGTACAATCTGAATTGATTGATTGATTGCTTATTACTACTTCACTTCAAAGCAACACAAAGGGTATTATATATAGACCGCTTATGTTTAAGATAGTCAAGTGACCAATATTATATCTGAGCTGATATCCCACTCTCGGAATTTCCACATTATGCCAACTTATAGAATATGTGCCTCGATAGGTTTAATTCTTTCAGTCTTTCTACACATAGGGCTTGTAGTTGTTACCAGGAAGCGAACTAATAACACGGCAGACGGAGTTCCCGGCCGTGACCAGTCATCAACCACTGCCACATAAGCCATTTATGAATGAAATTTCTGAATAAAATTAGCTTAACACATAAAACTGATTTCAACAGAGGGTTAAGCAATTTTTAAGGATTTAGAATGAGTGAGTGAATATTAACGTCCCACTATTCAGCTACTCGAGAGCCTAACATGGCTTACTTCGAAATTTTGTACCATGGTCCAGCGACGAGTATGAAACCTAAGCTGCTCCTCCCCTATCCTAACTTTCACACCACTCCAACGAGAGGACGTTTGAACCTCATCCTGTTGAACGTGCATCGGCCCCCTCTGCATGGCGGAAATTCAGCGGTACTAAGCTCGAACTCATGACACGCCGGCCACGAATACATTGCCTTGACCCCTAGGTTATCGTGGACACAGGATTTAGGTTTTAGTTAAATAATAGAAATTAACTTAGAGGGGAGCTTCAGATGCATATTAATCTACTTACAAATATTCCTTTATAATTAAAATGTATGCTGAAAATAATGTATACTTAGGCATTTATCATAATAAGTAATACTATAAAATCAATATAAAACACTGCTTAAGAAGGTTTGAAGGAATTCTTCGCAACGACATATTTTTGAATTATAATTTCACCCATTTTAATCTTTGTGCGCGAGCACGTATTTATTAATTTAGTATATTTAAATATTACATAATGAAACATTGTTTATAGTATGTATGTAAAAATAATATTATGTATGTACTCTCACGTTTATTTATGATTTGAGATTATAGTATGCTATACCTATATTGAATGAATGAAAACTGCTAGATTTTGATAAAAACTTCTCCGAACTGAAATATCAGAGATAATTCTGAATTATTTTGAAATATTATGTAAAATAATATTTAAACTCTTTTACATAAAAGACCAACTCATGCATATAAAATTATTTTAATGAATTAAACAGAGAAATGAGATGTTATATTCATGCAGATGCAAGAATTAATTCGTAACCTTGTGTACATAAAATCATTTTCTTAAAGGAATTTTAGCTACTAAGTATTAATATATATATATATACCAATGCTCACAAACTTAAAATAAGTATAAAATTAAAAAAATGCAACCCTTTTTTTGTTAATCGGTATACAGCTTAAGTGTCTTGCAATGTCCAATTGTGAGCACATTATGCTTCTGCAGCAGCTGAATGATCCAAGTCCTAGGGGTCAAGTGGTCTTAGTGCCACTAAAGATCTGCTATGTAGAGCGTTTGTGTTGACACAATATCTTCATATTGGAGTGGTCGAAAAATGTAGAGTGCGTGCTTGTTGAGGTGTCATTCTCGTCACTTTTCCAAGGTTTAAAATTATGAGGCCCGTTACAGCCAGCCTTCAAGATGCAACATTAATCCTTCTATTGTGAGGATGTATTCAATTAAAATTTCAATATTTTTGGAAATATTTTATTTTATTTATTTACAGAGTGATAGCTCTATAAGCATATGTACATGTAAATGCTGCTTGAAATTACTATTAAGAACTTTCACCTTAACTTAACTCAAATCAGGAATGTTCCGAAGGAATCAAGATGTATATCAGGTAGATATATTGGAATTTGTTCCAGTCCGTCTAAAATATAAAACATCTTTAATAACGAAATTTAAATAATTTTCTGAATACCAAATTACTTAAGATATACGACTTGTGATTTCTTAAACAGAATAATAAATTAACCTAAAAGATATTTAAGTTGTAATTTACAAAATGTAACATTTTGAAATAATTTCCAAAGCACTCAATCCATTTTGTATATACTTAATTTAAATTTATATACGAACCTATCTACATCAATATCCAAAATTCTATTCATCAATGCCTTATTTTAATACATATATGTTCTTACAGACTTATTACATTTATTTTATAATCCATGCATTTTATGCTGCTTATGTGTATCAAAGTTTTCCTTCATTAAAACTGTAATATAAGAATTTATTGAAAACAGGAAACTCGCATTATAATATTTCAAAGTAATGAAATTTTAAGGAAGATATCTTAAGTTAAAAAGTTACGAGTATATCTCCAGGATATATAGACGCATAAATTATTTATTAATAAAAATTACTATTAAGTTTTCGTATGTGCTAAATTGTATATAATATTTATAAATTTTCTGCACTGTCTACAATACATATGTGACGAGCTATCTCTTCATTATTAATAAGAAACATGATGCATTTTATCTTTTACTCACTTATTTAATATTTCAATAATTAAAATCAAAAAACAAGTAATATAAAAAAATTAAGTCAATTCTTATTTAGATCAACAAAGAAATTTTTTTATTTTAGCTACTTTTCATTAAATAGTTACACTTAATATAAATATGTATATACATATAATAGCATCGCAACATTAAGTGGTAATTAATTTTTATTAATTAACACTAAAGTATCGCATTGTCATCCAAAACAATCGTGCATATAAAATTTCAGTTCAACTGAATGCTTTAAAACGTGAGAAAGAAAAAACTTTTCAAGTTTTGACACAAGTCGCCAAAATGGTCCCTAAGTCACCAAAAATGATGCCACCGCAGTTGTATTTGTAATTCTCTAAATAATTAGTTTTAATCAACTAATTTTTATTAATTTTTATTAAATTACTGTATTGCCATCCAAAATAATCATGTATATAAAATTTCAGCTCAATTCAGCGCTTTAAAATGTATTTTATTAACGATTGAAAATTCCACCAAGATAAATAAATAAATAGAGAGTGTGAGCTAATAGTAGGAATTGAATAAATTAGGAGTATAGAGTAATTTAACTTAACTCGGTTCTGACGAATAAGGATTATACTGAAGATGACTTATTTTGCGATCTCTAAGCAATAGTTTTGTTTTGTAACCTCCATTTCTTATAGGCCGCAGTAGCTCAGTGGTCATGGACACGTTGTTGGCATATCATGAGTTCGAATCTGGTGCTACTGAAGACCCACCGTGTAGAGGAGCTAATATATGTTTAATCTGTCGAAGTTTAAAGTCCTTCTGGTGGTGGTGTATGGAATTTCAAAGAGATGGTGCTAGCTCATATGTCACCTCGATTACTTGACCATAGTTCAAAATTACAAGACCTGCCCTCAAGAAATGTATACTAATGTTTTGTTTAATAAAGATTGATCGTGGGGTGTTTGTTTCCCGGAGATCGCTTTTTAGTTCTAAGCCCCTTTCGGGTGAGGTCGGTTCCCTTGGGCATTTCGCCAATAGCCCTGGGGTTGCTTTATAAAGTAACGTTAATAAACACTTACTCCCGATCCATTTCACTCATTATACTTCTTTATATAAATAATTTCTTTCTTTCTAAATGGGGTTGCGGGTTGGTAATTACCATTACAGACCTAGTATATTCACCGAGAGCTGGTATAAATGTTTAGTGTGACACCATGTGTAAATGGATACCAATTACCACAGGCAAATTTTGACAACTTGTTTCCTCCCCAGAATTTAATCTTGGCGAAATTATCTTCGGAATTTAATTTTGGCAAGAGCCCCTGTAAGCCAAACAGGGACTCAAAAGATTTTTAATATATGCCGTATAATTATACAACATGGCCACTGTTGATTTTTTTGCTTCATGAAAATCCACCGAA